TGGCCAGTTAGGGGTAGGCATGCAACTCAAGCTAGGTCACAATAAACATCAGCCCTGGGACAGGCACTGGCACTACTAGCAAAAGTAGTCACTGTCTCCTACGCTGATAAACTAAGGCCTCAATTTTTGGAGAAAAATGAACGGACAAGAAAGCCAACACAGAAGGAAACAATTCTGAATGATGGAAAGACAGAGATTTCTGAAAACATTAGCTGAATACCTAAATTCACCTGTCCCTGGTAGAACCATTTCTGGTCATTCAGTTACACATATCAGCACATAACTTCTCCTGGGCTTAAAGCTAAATCAAATGTATTTTCTGTCATTTGATACCAAAATCCTCTCAAATACACCTTCCACTGGAACACAGTTCAGTTTAGAAAAACTCAAGGCTATCCTAAGAACTGGCAATTTTTAAGGAAAGTTAATGTGGAGAGAAGCACCAAGGGGCACACTTCAAAATAGCAATGTGTTCTGGAGGAAAAAGAGAGATCCAAAGTGTTGAATATACACGGCTTTTAAAAATAAGGTTAGTATCCCTTTATCTAAAATGCTTGGGACCAGAAGTGTTTTAGATTTCGAACTTTTTCAGATTTTGGAATATACTTAACAGTTGAGCATTCCTGATCTGAAAATCCAAAATCCAAAATGCTCCAATGAACATTTCCTTTGAGCTTTATGTTGGTGCTCAAGTTTCTGATTTGGGGGCATTTCAGATTTCAGAAACATATTCAGGGAAGACAGTCAGGATTAGAAGTGAGTATGTCAGGGCAAAAAGAACCAGGTGGTTAGGGAACTGACTCTCCTAGCGAGTTTAGCCTTTCCTTTCTTGGTTCAGGGAGATGTTGAGGGAGCTCAGAAAGATTGGTCCTGGTGAACAGAGAGATCAAAAACTCAAAGCCACCTCCAGTGAGGAAATTTAGAATTAATAAGCATTCTAATGTCAGAAATTTTTTCAAAACAGCTCCCTCCCTCCACCAAATACAGACACAAAAAAAATCAGTGAGTAGAGGATAATTGTTGAAGCTAGGAATGGGTGCATGAGGTTTATTCGAACCACTTTTATGTGTGTTTAAAAATGTATATATAGGCCAGGCATGGTGGCTCACGCCTGTAATCCCAGCACTTTGGGAGGCCAAGGCGGGCGGATCACGAGGTCAGGAGATCGAGACCATCCTGGCTAACATGGTGAAACCCCATCTCTACTAAAAATACAAAAATTAGCTGGGTGTGGGGGCAGGCATCTGTAGTCCCAGCTACTCAGGAAGCTGAGGTAGGAGAATGGCATGAACTCGGGAGGCGGAGCTGGCAGTGAACAGAAATGGTGCTACTGCACTCCAGCCTGGGCAACAGAGCGAGACTCCCATCTCAAAAAAAAAAAAAAAAAAATTTATAAAGTTTAAAAAAAAAATTCAAAAATTTAGAGAAAATCAAACCTGGAAAAATGAGAAGACCTAAGGAAATATTTCGCTTTTGAATAGAAAGGAGAATGGCAAGTTTTTAGTGAACTTTGTTTTCAAAGTCTGCCTGCACCATTTATTATATGCTACATTATCTAAGTTTTAAAGAGGTATTATGAAGTGCTGAAAGCTGCTTTGGAAGTAAAGACCCAGAACTGAATTACAGTCCTCGTGTTTCCTGGAGCAAAATAACCTTCAACAGGTTATTGTGAGCTTCAACTGAGTTATGATCACAGTAAACTATTACTTTGTAAATCTCTGTAAACCATAAAGTACTATATGCATGTTAAGAAAATAATTTTAAAATTATATATCTGAAAATCCGTCTAATGAGCCTCAGATAATTGAAAACTACTGCAACATTTTAATAGAAGAGAATAATGTAGAAAAGTTTGTAAGAGTTGCTCTCAAAATTCCCATCAAGTCATGGTACAGGGTAAGTAGCCAGCATTTAGAGAAAACCACTTTAGGCATAATTTTTTTTTTTTTTTTTTTTTTTTTGAGACAGGGTCTGGCTCTGTTGCCTGTCACCCAGGCTGGACTGCAGTGGTGCAATCACAGCTCACTGTAGCCTCGACTTCCTGGGCTCAAGTGATCCTCCCAATTCAGCCTCCCTGGTAGCTAGGACTATAGGCATGTACCACCACACTTGGCTTCCTTTGGGGGCTTTTTTTCTTTTGTTTTTGTAGAGAGAGGGTTTTGCCATGTTGCCCAGGCTGGTCTCAAGCTCCTGAGCTCAAGTGATCCACCTGCCTGAGGCCTCCCATATCCAAGGATGCTTAATTACTGAAAAGTTGCTAAGAGATCATACTAATAAAACTTCTCCAATACTTAAGATCGGCAGAAGGCTGAAGTTCCTTGTGGAAAGCCTTCAAGCATCAATAATGAACTTGTAAAAGAAGTAGCTCTATCCTGAAAAAAGTATGTTTCCTTCACTCTATTGTCAAAGGTGAAGGGGGCAGCAGGGAAGTCTAGAGATTAACAAAGAGAGACTCTGTTCAGAGAAACTACCGTTAACAGAGGCTCCTAGCCTAAGGGTGCAGCAAACGTTTTCTATGCAGAGAGCATACCAAAAGGAAAGTTAAGTCGGGGCAGGAAATGTTTGTGGTTAGGAGTTAGGCACAAGGGGCAGGGGTCTGGAACAAAAATGCAGTAAACACATTAGGTTGCTGGGAAGTTCACAAAAAGTTAGGGCCTAGCTGTCCCAGTCAAACCAGCCTAAAGTTATGTCAAGAACAAAATCTGATCACTATTGATAGAACCAATATCAGATGATACTAATCCATCCCCTGCTTCTCTCAAGAAAAATATCTAAATTGGGGCCGGGTACGGTGGCTCACGCCTGTAATGCTAGCACTTTGGGAGGCTGAGGCGGGCGGATCACATCAGGAAATTGAGACTGTCCTGGCTAACACGATGAAACACTGTCTCTACTAAAAATACATTAAAAAAAAAAAAATTAGCCAGGCTGGTGGCACGTGCCTGTAGTCCCAGCTACTTGGGAGGATGAAGCAGGAGAATCACTTGAACCCAGGAGGTGGAGGTTGCAGTGAGCTGAGATCGCACCACTGCACACTCCAGCCTGGGTGACAGAGGGAGACTGCGTCTCAAAAAACAAAAAGAAAGAAAAGAAAAAAGAAAAATATCTAACTTGGAAAACAAAACATAAACCTCATTTGTTAACTTTGGTGGTTTCACAGCAGTAATAAAAGTGATAAGGATATACAGGATAACACTGTAGGCACCTTCTGGCACTAAAGTTTCATGGGTCCTTGCCCTCAGGCTCAGGTGTTACTAGCAATTCATCCAAAATGCAGTTATAAAACACCTACTTTGAGCCAGGAACTATTTTATTTTTATTTTACTTATTTTTTAGAGGCATAGTCTTGCTTTGTTGCCTAGACTGGAATGCAGTGGCCTGATCACAGCTCACTGCAGTTTCAAACTCCTAGGCTCCAGCGATCCACTCACCTCCGCCTCCCAAAATGATGGCATTACAGGCGGGAGCCACCACATCTGGCCCCAAGAACTGTTTTCAATGATAGTATTTTATTTACTATTATAAAATTAATATGAAGAAGTTGCTACTAAAAGAAGCACTTTAGCAAATAAAATTTAACAGATCAGCTAGAAACACTGACTTCAATCTTAATTTGGGTGTCTGATCAGGTAACCTACAATTGGGCAATTAGAGATGAACAATACTTTTTGTACGCTATTAGCCTGACTACACAAGGTACTTTTATGTCTTTTTGTCAATTACAGGAAAAAATTATCCCTGAGCAAACAAATACACAAAGATAAAAGAGTAGAAATCTTACCCACGGGCAACTAAGATAGAAAAAAAATAGTTTGATTAACGCCTTGAAGTGCTGAACAAACATTTAAGAACTCTGGCAGAAATTTCTGAAAATCCTAGTCCAACCAAACATCAAAAAACCCAGGTAACAGGATGCCCCGTTACTGGGTTAGAGAGCAGCACAGTTGGCTAATATGGCCAGCTCACAGAAAACAAGCAAACCAACCATGCTCTGGTACAACACTCCCCAGAGCACGAGTTTCTCCTACTCGGTGTCGGTCCCTTGCGGGGGGAAAAAAAAGCCACACAGGAGCGGGATCTGTAGTTAAGTAATTATAGGTTTTTGCAAAGCAACCACCGAGGTAGGGGCGGGGAGGGAGTGGTTAATATTGCGGATCTTAAAGATACAAATAAAGGCAGATGGAATGAAGTTAGACTTGCACAAGGAACGAAAAACATACGGATGCTCTTGGCCTCATTAATAAGGAACATAAGCAGTTCCAGGCGAGGAACCCGTAACAAACTTCAAATCACGAAACTTTAGGAAGCAAGGGAGTCCGTGAGAGTATTTTAAGAAACTGGGGCCCAGAAAGACTAAGGGACGGGATATCATGCCATCTACACTTCTTTATACACTGCTATGCTTTATTAATTAGATTACAATATAATGTTAAATAACTAGAAGCGCTGGGCATTTAAAGTTCTTCCAGACCACCCAAACCACTCAAATTATCCTAATTAGCAATTTTTTTTTTTTTAAGTTACAGATTATTTCAATTGCAATGGGTCGGTTTCTATTTCAAACATGTAGTCAACAATCTTGCACTTCCTCTTGACCGGCAGGACGACGTTGACAAAGTCGGCCAGACAAGGAAGGGTTACGGGGGCTGCCCAGTCCTGTGGGTTTCCAGGCAGTGTGTTCTCTCTTCGGAGGTTGGGGTGTCCCCGGGGCGAGGAGCTAGCTGTGGTCACTGAAGTCCCCGACCAAGGCGGCGCGCACCCAGCGCTTGGGGCCGCCTTGCCTCGGCCCAGCCGCCCACCTGGACCCCTAAGGCATCCCCCTTCTGTGGCTCCGCGGTCTCGTGGCACCGCCCAGCCCGCGCCGGACCCGCCTCCAGCCGCAAGCAACTACCTACCGTGCGCCGGCCCCTCAGCTGAAAGGATCCTGCCTACGGGATAAGCAACCGCGCCACCAACGAGCGGGACGGACAGAGCGGCTCCTTCCGACTTCCGGAGGAAGCGAAACGTTACCGGAAATCGCGAGGAGGGTCAAAGGATACCCGGTCTCCGAAGTTCATGGCGATGCTGGTCCTAGTACCCGGACGAGTTATGCGGCCTCTGGGTGGCCACCTTTGGCGCTTCTTGCCTCGCGGATTCGAGCTTTGGGGCCCAGCCGAGGGAACTGCGAGAGTCTTGCTGAGGCAGCTCTGCGCGCGGCAAGCGGAGGTGTGGCGTGCCTCGGGGCTCCCTGGCTACTGCCTAGGAACCCGGCCCCTCAGCACGGCGAGGCCGCCACCCCCACCCCCGTGGTCGGAGAAGGGCCTCAGAGACCCCAGGCGCCCCTCGAAGCCCGGGGTGAGTGCACATCTGGAACCCTTCTGGTGCTTGTCGCTGCTGTCGGCCAGCCCAGCCGCCACATCCCACTTGATCGTAACTCAGCTCAGACACTTAACTACTCCGCCTCCCTTAAAGTTGTCCTCAGCTTGGGCGCCTTACCTGCGTCATGGAATTTCATCCTGCATTTCCCGTGCTTAGCCGGTAGTCCCAGTTCTCCAGAGAGAACTTGAGACCTTACTTACACCCTCTCCACGTGGCTGGATGCCCGGACTTGGATTTTATGTTAGCGTTTCCACCAAAAAAAAAAAAAATTAAGTTTCAGGTTTTCTTAAGGGTGTGAACCTAAAGTTGACTGTGATTGAGGAGTCAGAGGACTTTTATAATTTGTCACTTGAGCCTCATCCAGAGTTCCATGTATACGTTGAAACTGAAACAAAAAATGGAACTTACTTATGTGTGGATGTGCCTTTTTCTTGGGGTTCTCTCGAGTTCCAGTTCCTATCCTGTGGTAAGAGAAGTGGGTTTTCGGAGCTGCGGGAAGGTTAATGAGTTAGGCCTAGTTGGCCAGCTTCTTCCTCATTTGGGGAGTTGAATAAGGGTACAAAGAAATAATGGCAGTAATTTGCAGGAAGCTCCACTTTTAGATGCCTCTTGTACTTTGGCTTTGTTACTTCCGGAAGCCAGAGTTAGGTTAACCTCCCACATTTCGTTTGGTTTGTTTATATTCTCAGTATCAGCGTAAACAGATAATGGTTTTTGTGTGTGTGTGTTTGGATTTTTGGTTTTTATTTTGTTTTGAGACGGAGTTTTGCTCTGTTGCCCAGGCTGGAGTGCAGTGGCCCGATCTCGGCCCACTGCAACCTCCGCCTCCCCGGTTCAAGCGATTCTCCTGCCTCAGCCTCCCATGTAGCTGGGTTTAGAGGGACCCGCTACCATGCCCGGCTAATTTTTGTATTTTTAGCGGAGATGGGATTTCACCATGTTGGCCATGCTGGTCTCAAACTGCAGACCTCAGGTGATCCACCCGCCTCGGCCTCCCAAAGTGCTGGGATTACAGGTGTGACCCACGACGCCGGGCCATAATTGGTTTTTAAGTCAAGATTGGAGCCAGGGTCACACATAGTAACAATCATGGTACTTGAGGTTGTATTTTTGTTTGTTTGGTTTTTAAACATGAAGAGAAACTGACTTAGGGAACTTTCCCTTGGAGATGACTGTCTTTGTAATTCAGATCCCAGACCTAACTACATCTACAGAAACTTTGAGCATTTTCTCATCCCTGAAACATTTTGCACATTTAACAACATCATGGCCTGTGTGTATATTTATTAAAAACTAACTGTCATAAGTTTATATGGTTAAATATTTGCATCTTACTAGAATTTTTATGTTTGAAATCCCTGCCCTAGTAGCCTGTTTCCTGGAAGTCTTTAGCAATCACATTTGCTATTGGAGGAGCTTTACTGGCTGGAATGAGGTACATGAAGAAAGAAAAGGCAGAGAGTAAGTAGCTGTCATCTGCTCAGCCCTAAATAAAGTTCTTCCTGGCTATGGACTAACACCTTTTTCGTTGTTTTTAAGCTTTTTGTTTTGAAACAACTTTAGATTTACCAAAAAAAAATTGCAAAGATAGCATAGGTTCTATATACCTTTCACCCCGCTTCGCCTAATATTAACATCTTATATAACCATGGCACATTTTTCATAACTAAGAAATTTAAAATGGCACACAACTATGAAATTACAGCTTCTGTTTGGATTTCACTTGTTTTTCTATCAGTGTCTTTTATCTGTTCCAGGACCCAAGCTAGGATACCACTGCATAAGAGTGTTAAAAGATATACTGTGGATAGATTTGACTGGGCAAGATGAAATCTGGAGGGTACAAAGATGACTAAGATGCATTCCTGCCTTTGAGGTGCACACGGCAGGGAAACTGACACAGAAGTAAAGGATTTTACTAGATGCGGTTCTGCCAGGCCAGAAGGAAGCTTAGCATGTTCTGAGAGCAAAAGCGAGGCCCAGCCTTGGCATTTGAGAAGGCTTCCTAGGGATCAGGCAAGAAGCATGGTGCGAGTAGATATTGCATGCCCTCTGTGGATGAGGGGGTGGTGAAGAGAGCCTGGTCAGGAAATGCCAGGAACTACTCTGGATTAGCATCTTGAAATATTTAGAAATTGTTTATAAGAACTTTGTATTTTAGTGAATATCCTAGGACTTCTCTAAGATTTGGTTTAGAGGTTTTAGGTAAATCTTTAAAGTATTGCTTAAATCTTTACATTCTTTGGTGTCTCTTTTGATAACATTATAGACAAAGGCCAATGATTAAATGTGGGAATTCATAAGCTTTGGGAACTTAGCACTGTAAGTTTTGTACTGATATATGTGTATATGTGTGTGTGTGTGTGTATGTGTATGTGTGTGTGTATATATATATATATATATGAGACTCTTTGGCATAGTAAGTAGTATTGGTAAGATTTTCATAGTTTAATAAGCAGTAAGTTCCTTTAGTTTCACAAAGAAAAGCTAGGAAAGTTGTGGCAGGAAAATTCTAGAATATGGAAGCTTTTTTTGACTTTAGTTTGGAATTTCAAGTGCAATTCTAACATTTGTTTTATTTAAAAAAATATGTTATGAAATAATCTTAAAACTCTTCCTAAATAATTTGAGAGTATTTATTTGCCGACATGTTGCCTCATCAGCTCCAAACACTTTTTGGTGTATTTCCTACAAACAAGGACCTTCTCGAACGTAACCACAATACAACCATCAAAATTAGAAAATTAACACTGATATTTTGCTACTGTTCAGTCTTCAGACAGGGTTTTGTTTGTTTGGTTGGTTTTTGAGACAGTTTCGCTCCTGTTGCCCAGGCTGGATTACAGTTCAGTCTTCCAAGTTTTGCTACTTGACGTCTTTCATAGCAAAAGACATCCGTTTCAGAACCACACCACCTTGTACCTAGTTGTTCACCTTAGCCTCCTTCATCTGTAACAATTTCCCAGACTTCAACTGACCCCCACGATCTTGACAGCTTTGACAGTTACAGGAGAGTTATTTTGCAGAATGCCTCTTAGCTTGGATTTGTCTGATGTTTCCTCATTCAGGTCATTCGGGTTGTTCACCTTTGGTAGGAATATCACAAAAGTGATGCTGTGTTCTCCTTGCATCTGGTCAGATGCCACATAGTACCAGTTGTCCCATTACTGATAATGTCCAGTTTGATCACTTGATTAATGTGTGTCTAACAGGTTTTCTACTGAAAAGTTACTCATGTAATTAATGGTCTTTCGTGATTTGTATTGGCATATGTATACTTAAATATTCTGTTCCCCATCACACTATCAATGCATTCATTTATTTATATCTGTGGACTTGTCTGCCGTGTATTCATTCAGTTTCAATCCATAATCTCTTTATTTTGATGCCCAAGTTGTCCCAGATTGATCAGCGGGAGCCCCCTTGCAGCAGGCTTCTGTGGCTTTGACTTGTTCTCTGAGTTCTACTTTCCTTCTGCCACAACAAGAGGTTCCAGCCTCATTTTCCACTTTCTTTGCCGCAACCCTGGTATCAGCCATTTCTCCAAAAAGCTGTTTCCTTTTAGTGAAGAATGATATTTAGAAGTCAGGTTCTGGGCTCATCGTTCTTGGAGTGTGTCTGTTCCCTGGTCCTCTCAGTGGACATGGTGAGAAAATAGATGTATTTATGTACGTCTCTATGTATGTTATATCTATGTAGATAGAAGCTCACACTAGTACCTCCAGTGTATTTCCAGTACTACATACAGGGTTCAGCCTAGCTTTCTTCCTCTCCATAGTTGACTCCATTTCCTATTGTAACTCTCTTGTCTTTAATACATTCATTTATTTCATCAATTTCCTGTGCGTAACTAAGGTCCCATCGGCACTCTCACCTCCCCACGCAGGATCAGACTCCATATGCCAGGCCATCCACCGTACCCCACTTGGGTTCAGACATGCAGCTGTAGGCCACTGCGGCCCCTCCCTGCCCCCAGCATGGACACACCTAATGGCTTAGGACGGAATTGTCCCTGAAAAAGAAGAAATATTGTTTCCTTTTTTACAACATACCATAGTATTTCATTTGATTTTGTTTTAATGTTTCGTGCTTATTTTTCTCAAAAGATTTTTTTAGCTTCTTGAAAACAAACTATTTTTTCCACATTTTGTGCCCCCACCGGAAGTAACATAGTACTGGCCATATGTCAGGTATTTGAGTACCTCTGGTTACACTGACTTTTTTTTGGTGTGTATGTTTGTGTCTCCTTAAGAGTTAGAGAAGGAACGGCAGCGACAGATCGGCAAGCCTTTACTTGGGGGACCATTTTCCCTCACAACTCATACTGGGGAGCATAAAACTGACAAGGACTACTTGGGTCAGTGGTTATTGATTTATTTTGGCTTCACTCATTGCCCTGATGTCTGTCCAGAAGAACTAGAAAAGATGATTCAAGTCGTGGATGAAATAGGTAAGAAAGCCGTCACTAACTATACAAAGTATATGTTTTTTTTTTTTTGTTTGTTTGTTTTTTTTTTTTTTTTGAGGCGGAGTGTAGCTCTGTCGCCCAGGCTGGAGTGCAGTGGCCGGATCTCAGCTCACTGCAAGCTCCGCCTCCCGGGTTCACGCCATTCTCCGGCCTCAGCCTCCCGAGTAGCTGGGACTACAGGCGCCCGCCACCTCGCCCGGCTGGTTTTTTGTATTTTTTAGTAGAGACGGGGTTTCACCGTGTGAACCAGGATGGTCTCGATCTCCTGACCTCGTGATCCGCCCGTCTCGGCCTCCCAAAGTGCTGGGATTACAGGCTTGAGCCACCGCGCCCGGCCACAAAGTATATGTTTACTTAATGTTACTAGGTTTTTGACATTCTCGTATTATTGTTAGGTGGGGTTTTGCAATTATGTGATTTGTAAGAACATAAAATCTCAGCATTTGGCTTGTTTGTTGCTTTGAGTCTTGTGACCTTATTCTCCACTGAAGGAAGCTTGTTTTGATGTGAAATGTTAGATCACTTAAAAATGTCAGTGTGTCTCCCTTAACTCGGCTTTTGTTTTCCTTCTTTTATTACATCACTGAGGCCACCATTGCCTCTTCCCCACTGATTGTGACAATTAAATTAGGAAATCTTTGCAATAGTTTGCAGTCTGTGGCGTTTTACTAATACCAGTAAGAAGGAAAGGTGCCTCCATAAAGTGTATAATTTCAGGATATTCAGTTCTTATTAGCAGTTTACCTTCTCGCCCTTGAGATATGGTGGGAGTGAAAAAAACTACAGATACTGGAGTGGATTAAGAGATAAGATAGCCACATGACATTATCCAGGGGAAGAACACTTACGCGCTGGTGCAGGCAGTTGACAGGATATGTAACCTTGTATTATCCACCACAGACAATACTACTGTGTATGAGTCTGCTCCTCCTAAAGGCCATCCCATCCCCATACCCTTCCCCGTCGTTTTCCTCTTCACCTGAATGTTAAGATGTCCATCTGTTTTCGAAACACCTAGCTGTCCAGCACGTCCTCTACTCTACTGTTATTGCTGGTTTTCTTTGTCTTTCCCCTTAGGGTGTGAATACGGACTAATTGGAACTCTCTTTCAGATAGCATTACAACTCTGCCAGATCTAACTCCACTTTTCATCAGCATTGACCCAGAGAGGGACACGAAAGAAGCCATCGCAAAGTATGTGAAAGGTATGTTTTTTAAATAATACTTTACATTTATTTAGCTTTAAAGTTTTTGGAATATCAGTTCATTTGAACCTTACAGTGCCTTGTGAAATAGGACAAATGGTATTATCACCAATTTTATGGGCAAATAAAAAGATGAAGCTAGGAATTATTACTGTGGATAGTCAGGGCATAGGTAAGAAACGGGTTTCTCAATTCCTGATGCAGTGCTCTTTATGTTTTGTCACAGAGAAAGGATTTGAACTTGGCCTTCATGTATCAACTAAGTTAATCAAGCCTTGAGTTGAGAGTAAGGACACATTGCTTCTAATTCCAGCGCTGTACTCATTCTCTCCTTGGTAAAATTAGGACAAACATATATTCTGGAAGTATGTTCATTGGGAGATTAAAGATGAATAATTAAATATAAACATATTTTGAACTCAGCACATGTTTTATAAATTAAAACATTTGCTGTGACAGGCCAGGCATGGTGGCTTATGCCTGTAATCCCAGCACTTTGGGAGACCAAGGTGGGCAGATCACCTTAAGTCAGGAGTTTGAGACCAGCCTGGCCAACATGGTGAAACCCCGTCTCTAGAAAATACAAAAATTAGCCAGGCGTGGTGCTGCGCGCCTGTAATCCCAGCTACTTGGGAGGCTGAGGCAGGAGAATCGTGTGAACCCGGGAGGCGGAGGTCACAGTGAGCTGACATAACGTCACTGAACTCCAGCCTGGGCAACAGAACTAGACTTCGTCTTAAAAATAGATAAAACATTTACTATGACAAACACATAACTGTTGTTTAATTGACACATAACAGTTGTACGTATTTATGGGGTACAGAGTCCCTATCCTCCCCTACCCTTTCCAGCCTCTAGTATCCACAGTTCTCTCTGCTTCTATGAGATCAACTTTTTTAGCTTCTGCATATGAATATGAACATGCAGTATTTATCTTTCTGTGCCTGACTTTTTTCATTTAACATATTAATAGTATCCTCCAGGCTCATCTCCATTGCCACAAATGACAGGATTTCGTTCTTTCATATGGCTGGGTAGTATCCCATGATGTATGTATACTGCATTTTCTTTATCCATTCACCTGTTGATGAGTACTGTTGGATTTCATATCTTGGCTATTGTGATTAGTGCTGTAGTAAACATGGGAATGCAGACGTTTCTTCAATATACTGTTTTCGTCTCCTTTGGATATATACCCGGTAGTGAGATTCCTGGATTGTATTGCAGTTCTGTTTTTAGTTTCTTGAGGAACCTCCATACTGCTATCCACAATGGTTATACTAATTTACTTTTCCATCAACAGTGTGTATGAGGTATCTTTGTTCTGAATCATTGTCACCATTGGTTATTTTTTTGTATTTTTGGTGATAGTCATTCAAATTGGGATGATACCTAATTGTGGTTTTGGTTTGCGTTTCCCTGGTGATTAGTGATGTTGAGCATTTTTTCGTATACTTGTTGGCCGTTTGTATGCCTTCTTTTGAGAAATGCCTGTTTAGATCATTTGCCCTTTTAAAAAATGTTATTTTTGTTTTTGCTTTTGAGTTGATTGAGTTCCTTGTACATTCTGGATATTACTCCCTAGTCAGATGAATAGTGTGCACATATTTTCTCCCATTCTTCAGGTTGTCTCTTCCTTCTGTTTATTGTTTCCTTTGCTGTGCAGAAGCTTTTTGTTTTGATATAATCCCATTTGCCTATTTTTGCTTTTGTTGCCTGTGCTCTTGAGGCCTTGTCTATAAATTTTTTTCCCTGATTAATGTCCTGAAGTGTTTCCCCTATGTTTTCTTCTACTAATTTTATAGTTTCAGGTCTTACGTTTGTCTTTCCTACATTTATATTTGATTTTGTATATAAAAATAGGGATCTAGTTTCGGCACCATTTCTTGAAGAGACTGTCCTTTCCCAGCGTAAGTTTGGTGTCTGTGTCAGAAATCATTTGGCTTTATTTCTCGGTTCTCTATTCTGTTCCCATTGGTCTGTGTGTCTTTTTATGCCAGTACCATGCTGTTTTGTTTACTATGGCTTTGTACTATGTTTTGAAGTCAGGTAGTGTGATCCTGCCAGCTTTGTTCTTTTTAATTAAGATTGCCTTGGCTTTTAGGGGTCTGTTGTGGTTTTATAGAAATTTTAGGATTGTTTTTTCTGCTTATGAGGAAGGCATTACTTTCAATGGAGGAATTTCAATCAAACATCTCTGTATGCTGTTTAAAAGCTGTTAGGTACTTTTAAAGACTACAAATTATAGTGGAATTGAGAGTGGATGCTTAGGTTCTAATTCAGCTGTGAGAGTGGGCAAGTTTAATTTCTCTAGACTCAAGTTCAGCATATGTACTTAAAAATCAGGAATCTGAATTTTAATTATGTTAACATTGATTTAATAACTGGTTAAAAGCACTAAAGAATAGTTTTATATTTATATTTATTATATGACACATTCAAATACATATCTTCTAAAACAGGTTATTTAAAAATATGTTTTATGAAGGATCTGCTGTATGTATAATTACTTCTAACACACTTATTAAAGTATAATTGACATGCAATAAAGTATAGGTATTTGAAGTATATAATTTGTTGCCTTTTGTAACTGAAACCATCCCACAGTCAAGAAAATGAACATACCTGTTACCCTCAAAAGTTTTCCTTTGCCTTTTTTAACCCCTGTCAGTTTCACTGTCTCTCTCATTTTTTATTTAGAATTTTCTCCCAAACTGGTTGGCTTGACTGGCACGAGAGAAGAAGTCGATCAGGTGGCCAGAGCATACAGAGTGTATTACAGCCCTGGCCCCAAGGATGAAGATGAAGACTACATAGTGAGTAAATGCTCCAGTTTTAACCCATGGACCAGCTCCCAGATCCCAAATAGTCATAAGACTTTCAATGACTGACTGGCTTCTGAGAAGAGAGAAAACCTAAGATTATTGCAAAGTCCTTAGGAATTTTTTTTTTTTTTTTTTTTTTTTTTGAGACAGAGTCTCACTCTGTTGTCCAGGCTGGAGTGCAGTGGCACGATCTTGGCTCACTGCAACCTCTGCCTCCCAGATTCAAACAATTCTCCTACCTCAGCCTCCCGAGTAGCTGGGATTACAGGTGCGTGCCACCACACCTGGCTACTTTTTTATATTTTTTGGGAGAGACGGGGTTTCACCATGTTGGCCAGGCTGATCTCGAACTCCTGGCCTTTCCCACCTCAGCCTCCCAAAGTGCTGGGATTACAGGCGGGAGCCACTGCACCCAGCCTCCTTAGGAATTTTGAATATTTGAAAGGATAATGTAAGCATGTTTTTTACTTTTTATTTATTTTTGAGATGGAGTCTCACTCCATCACCCAGGCTGGAGTGCAGTGGTATGATCTCGGCTCACTTCGACCTCCGCCTCCCGGATTCAAGCAGTTCTCCTCCCTCAGTCTCTCGCGTAGCTGAGATTACCGGTGTGCGCCCACGCATGCCCGGCTAATTTTTGTATTTTTAGTAGGGAAGGAGTTTTGTCATGTTGGCCAGGCGAGGCCAAGAGGTCTGGAATTCCTGACCTCAGGTGATCTGCGCTGCTCACCTCAGCGTCCCAAAGTGCTGAGATGACAGGCCTGAGCCGCTGCGCCCAGCCAGAAGCATGCTTTTTAAAAGATGATTGTTTGATTCGTATTCACTATTCTCATAATTCAGTTGCCTGTTTTTCTCTTAGAGTGACATAGAGAATTTTAGGGCAATTTAAAACCAGATACTTGGGTGCCGTGTTGTAAATAAAGAGAAGCCGTCATTTGGAACAACACTTATTTTGAAGAGATTGTATTGGTTCTCACTGTGTCCCCAGTATAGAGGTATCAGAAATTGTTCTTTTGGAGAACCAGTTTTAGGCCATGGAGAACTGCATTTTTAGGTTGAATGAGAATTCTGAAAAGCAAAAGATAAAAGGTTTATTTGCCCATTGACTATATGCCTTGGACAGTTAGGTGTTAAATGTGTGCTTTTTAATGATAAGGAACAGAAATTCTGTTGTACTGGTGTCGCTCTTATATGAACTATCCTCATATTCATCAGCACTGCCCCAGAAGCCTTAGGGTCATGCCCGAGTTACTGTGTTTCTTTTCTTGTCAGTGGTTTCACAGTGAAGCACCAAAAACGGGCATTAGCGCCACCACGGTCCACCAATTTTCTTCTCAATTTGGACATTTTTCTCCTATCACGTTAAGAGTCGACATTGTATTTTAGCATTATTTCAGTTGTTTTCTTAGTTGTCATACTCTGGTTTTTCTATAGTGTTGTTTGGGCAGGGTAATCATAAGCTCTTTCTAGCTGTGAGGCTGTCTTTGTGGAAAGAAAGATGGCCAAGACCCCGAATCACTGATCCAGCAGCTCCCCGTGGCCCGTCCAAAGAGTGAGATGCAGAGGGGGTGGGGATGTCTCAGTGCAGTGCTTTGTCTCGATAGCCAACCGTGGTTTCTCTGTCCCTTTGAACCCGGAACACATGTGCTCCTGGAGCCTACAGCCGAAATTAAAAGCAAGCTTCTGGCCCATTTGCCTTAATTCAGCCTACACAGTAATCTTGTCTTCCAGTTGTGCTGCCTTGTAGAATTAGGGAAACTTGGATTCCTTGGAGTAAAAGATGAGAAAAATGAGCATTTTTCCTTAAGCCTTAATTGTAAGGAAAGTAGAGGGACCCTCCTCTGTTTTCCTCTTGCTGCTCTAGCAGAAGGAGAGAAGCGCAGAGAGCCACAGTGGCCAAGAGAGGAAGCGCAGAGAGCCACAGTGGCCAAGAGAGGAAACCATAGGAAAAGGACTTTCCAGACTTCTTTTTTACAGAGTTGTGTTAACTGGTTTGGAGTTTATCTGATAATGACAGCAGGAATAGATGAGCTCATCAGTCTGATTTCCAGCATTAAATGAGTTATATTAACTTGTTTAAATGTATCCAGTCCCAAACTAGGTAACAGTCCATAGTCTTATGCTTAGAACTCATAACTCAGAGTCAGAAAGCCATAAATCAGAAGTTGTACAAATAAACCCAAACAGCCTGCAAAACTTAAACTGAAAACATTCAGTTACAGTGACAAGAGATTTTGCTGAAACCAAGGTGCTGCTCACGGCAGGAAGGGGGTTGTGGTCAGACTGCTGTCACATACCCAGCTCTACTCAACTGCCCCTCTGCATTTTCTATTTAAAATACTTTGAAACCTTTAATTGTGTAGCCTGCCTTGCCTGGTTAGTATTGATTTGGCAAGAATGTATCATATTCATGTCTGCCTGTAACAGCAGTGGACAGCTAGGTGCCAGTGAGATCATAAAGCAAACACAAGCCTGGGCACTGAAATTTATACTCACAACACAGATAATCCAGAATATGGGTATTAATTTTTTTAATTACAAATGAAAACGAAAATATGTAAGTCTTATGTAGACTTCTTGGACCTTGTAGAATGTATCTTTGGCCCCACTTTTAGAAATACTGGCCTACTGCTATAAGAATTTGACTTTTGATGAAATTCGATGGGGAATTCGTTGCCGTACATTTGCTAAACATCCAATAGGGGGAGACACTCTCCAGCTTCTTAGGCTTTTCATTAGTGTGACTTCAGTCCCTTGAGGTCACAGATTTTCATCCATAAGACAGTTTGGGAAACTTCTATTAACATTTAAGGTCCTGCAGGAAGTAAGAGGGTACCTTTAAGGTTAACGTTGAGATGTAATGGAATGAAATTTTCTTAATCTGAAACAACAGCAGCAAAAGGTAAGCTTCTGGCTTTTGAGTGGACTCTTCAGACTGATCGAACTGGGTATACCAAATATTTGGGATTCCATAGAAAGCTGGATCTGCACATTATTGTATTTTTTATATATATAATACTTAATTATTACATAGGTATTAGTTAGAAAGTACTGTTGAAAAAAGAGTACAAATGGCTTTCAAACCTAAATGTTCAGTTTCCTAATAAAAGGAATGTGAATTGTATAATGAGGTAACATTTTTCTATTAGCTCAGCAGTGGTCAGAAAATTTGAAAACATATTATCAAAATTGGAGAAACAGGAAATATACTGGAGGAGTGAATTTGGAGCAGCAGGCTCTCTCATGCATTGTTGATAGGAATTAAACTCATGCACCCTCTTCAGAGGGCAATTTGACAGTGTCTCTCACATTTAAAGTGATACACTTTTTAGGCCAGAGATTCTACCTTTTGGACTTTATCCTACAAATGTACCCTATGGCATTGTAAAGAGTAAAGACTGAAAATCCAGTAATCATTTTTTAACTACTGTGTATAATCTGATATAGAACAACGTCCAATATATTGTTAAATGAGAAAGCAGGTACTCTATAATATATTGTTACTTGTGTATAAAAAAAATAAGTGGTAGTGGATATATACACATAGTAGATGCAGAGAATTTCTCTGGAAGGATACAGAAGGAACTGGTGACATTGGTTCCCTCTAAAGGGAACTGAGGCACTCTGGGTGTGAGGACGGGGAGGGACATTTTCATTGTATAAATTTACTGGATATTCCTTTTCTATGTGCATATATTACCTTTTCAAAACATAACTCACACTAAAACGTAACTTGCACACTAAAAAAACTGAGTTACTGCCCGCCACTAGAATTGGAGCTAGAGGCAACATGGTGATAAAAGTTGGTGGACTTTAAAACTGGACAGATTCTAGCTTTTAAAGTTAGGCCTGGCACTTAGCAATTATATAATTTACTCTCTCCGCCTGTGATGCCATTTGTAGAGGGGGAGAATACCTGTTTCATGGCTTAAGATGACATGTGAAAGAATTTGTTAGTTAATGCTAGTGTCCTTTTTCTATACAAGGAAGTACTAGAACTTGGAAGACCTCTGTATTAGAATAAATGTCAATTTACTCTGTCACAACCCAAAGGAATATTGAGGAGTGACCTGACAAGTTCAACAGATACAGATAAAACGATGTTTTTGTTGTGTACTACAAGGTAATTTATATTAAGAACACTCAGAAAATAAGTCCCACATACTGTAATCTGTTTCTTTAACAGAGAATAGAGAAAAGGAAGAAATAGGGAGAAAGAGTGATGTAAGCTACAGAGTAAGGCTTGACGAGAGAACTGGAGACTGACTTCTGATTTCTGTGTCAATTGTGTGGAGAAATAGAGCTCCCCGTGTTGCTCCAACAGTGCACTGCCCCACAGCACTTGAGATCCAGTTGTTGGTGCTCTTTTGGTGCACATTCTTTCCTTATGCGGGGAAGCAGGTGCTCTTTCCATTTGCTGTCTGAAGAATGCGTGTATAAAAGATAATACCCTCACAGACATATGATGCATGCTGGGGTATATTTGGGCAGCGTCTCCAGTTTGGTATTTGTAATCACATTCCTGTCTTCCTTTATCTTGCCAAATAGCAATCAAGCCTGCAATAAATTCCAAGGACTCTTAAGTACCAAATCTCACTTGAAATTGGGTTTTATGGAAGTGTCTAACTAAAAAAACTGGTGACTAATCTAAGTTAAAGTTAGAGCTGGGACCGTTTTAGGACTTTGCTGGGAAAATGGATGCTGAGTTTCAGATGACTCTGTGGTTGGGGGGAGCAGTGTTTATGCTCCCGAGGATTTGCTTTCCAGGTGATTTTTAAGATGACTCCGTGAGTTGGCGGCGGGGGCTGGGGGGTTGGGGAAGGGCAGCATTTATGGCTTCTGAAGGTTTGCTTTCCAGGTGACGGATTGATTTCAGACAGGATTATTCAGTGGAGGAGACAAAAATTTCCTTGGGGAGAAAAATGTTTCTTTTCCTGTTTCTGTTTGAATTACTAATATTAAAACTAAATATTGTTCAACTTTATAGATTATTTAAACTCGTGATTAGTTTTCTGATTTCTTCTCATAAAGCATGGTAAGCAGAATTTTGGCGGTAATGAATGACAACCAGTTCTTTCTAAAACATAAAGGAATAAACCCAAGAACTTACGAAAGAAAGCAATTTTTCACCAACACCTAATTCCATGTGATGTCTCTGTAACATGTTTAGGGTCTGAGGAGATACCTTACTCAAAAATGAAGGTATTTTTCAACAGCATTGCTATTCCACAAATATTGACTGCTTTACGAAAGCCTGCAGCAGCTATTTCTTAGAAGGTGAATTCTTTTCTCAGAGAGTGTGTGGGCAAATGTGTTAAGGATTAAACCAAAAGAATTTCAGGTTCTAGCTGTGACAAGCAATAACCAGTGCAGATGTTTAGGACACAAAAGATTTTAGGCAATTTTTGTTAGGAATTTGCTATAATAGGCTTAAGCCTATTCCATGAATAATAGATGCTACAAAGGTTATTTAAGCATGAATGTAAAGTTCTCTTATCTTGCAGTCTACATTCAGTAAAATAAGCAGCTTATTTTGGTAATCTTTGTCACACTCTCTCCCCATTTCTCTGCAGGTGGATCACACAATAATAATGTACTTGGTTGGACCAGATGGTGAGTTCCTAGATTATTTTGGCCAGAACAAGAGGAAGGGAGAAATAGCTGCTTCAATTGTCGCACACATGAGGCCATACAGGAAAAAGAGCTAGCCAAAGCAGTGTTGCTGGATGCAGTATTCTCTTGCTAAGAGGAAGGAAACTTTGTCTCGCATAGGAGCTTATATAAATATAAACATATATACATGCGGTCTACAGAATGGCCTTCATATCATGAGAACATTTCTGTTTTGGATGGGGATGTTACCCTTGCGTTCAACCAAAATTGATTCTTGGAACTGTAAAGTTTATAACCCAAAGTCAGAGGACCAAGTTAAAGTGAAGCCAGTAAAGAACCCACCTGCGGAAAGGACACGGCGGGGCGAGGCACAGCCAGTGCATTTCTGCCTGCAAACAGGCCCTCCCAGCAGCTCTGCTGCCTCTCCATTGTTTTGGACCCTTGCTCGAAGAGCTGTGGGACTGAATTTCATGGAAAAGTATATAATTTCCACAGTCCTCTTGCTTGCCTCTTCTTGAGTTCTCTGCTCGTCTGAGTTCTTGGTGGCTAATAACAGTCAGATTAGGGTCTCTGCCGTTCAGAGTTGATACTTGAAAACTTTAGTTTTCCTTATTAATGAATATCACTATCGGATTTGACTAATGAAGAGGAAATCTATTGTTTGGGGAAAAAAACATCAGTTTGATGTCTCTAGGGGGTCTTTTATGTGATTTTTAGCTAAGTGGTGTGCCAGGTTTTCAGTGATATACCAAATGAAAATAGAGGATATTGATCATGAGTGTGATGCTGAGTACCTCTCTGCCTATACTGAATTGTACTTTGTGTAAAATAAACATATTCAATTTTGCTGTTCAGACAAGCGTGATCTTTTTCATGGGTGATGAGTGGGTGCATAGATGGCTGCACACAGTTCTCAGGGAAGAGACCCGCAGGCTCCAGCGGGCAGGTGGGTGGGACGCTTGCTGAAGTGCAGGTTCCCAGACCCAGAGCTGAATTCACTGAATCCGCAGTATGATGCAGAGACCGACTTCCGTAACAGATATCCCAGGTGACTCAAATGCTGGCAGACCGGGACCATCCCTTAAGAAAGTGTTTTTTTGGGGGGAAATAACTTGCCTGGCACAATGCCTAATGCCTATAATCCCAACACTTTGGGAGGCCAGGGCCTGAGGATTGCTTGAGGTTAGGTGTTCAAGACAAGCCTGGGCAACATAGTGAGACCCCTCCCCATCACTACAAAAAATTTTTTGGCATGGTGGCACAGGCCTGTAGTCCCAGCTACTCAGGAGACTGAAATGGAGGATCAGTTGAGTCCAGGAATTCAAGGCTTCAGTGAGCTATAATTATGCCACTGCATTCCAGCCTGGGCAACAGAGTGAGGCCCTCTCTCTATATATCTACGTAGAGATACGTAAATTAATTAAAATGAATTTACAAATAAACAAATTTGACCCTTATTTTGGTGTGACAGCCATTGAAGAAAATGATTATTGAATGATAGAGTGAATCTTGGCTTTTGTTTCTAAATTTAACTGCCCTGGATGCCCGGGTTTGGTCTTTTTCCGCCAGAAGCTGCTGTCCTAGGGGCAAAGTTCTCCGAAAGTTTTTCAGTAAATCCTAAGATGCAACAAATACAGACAACAGATTATTTTTACACGATATGTTTCTACATGCACATGGTAGAGGCCTTTTGGTTTTTAAGTTCTCAATACTGAAACCTAAGTATTTATATCAAAGTAAAAGTATATGAAGAAAAAAAAAAACTATGCTAGTTATAGGTTTAATAATGTCCCCCGAATTTTATACATTGAAACCCTAATCTCAGTACTTATGAATGTGACTGTAATTGGAGATAGAGTCTTTCAAGAGATAGTTAAAATGAGGCTGCTAGGCTGGCCCTAGTTCTAAATGGTGTTCTTAAAATAATAGATTAGTCGGGCACAGTGGCTCACGCCTGTATAATCCCAGCACTTTGGGAGGCCGAGGCGGGAAGATCACCTAAGGCCAGGAGTTTGAGACCAGCCTGGCCAGCATGGTGAAACCTTGTCTCCTAAAAATGGAAAAATTACCTGGGCATGGTAGCGGGTGCCTGTAATCCCAGTTACTCGGGAGGCTGAGATGGGAGAATCGCTTGAACCTGGGAGGCAGAGGTTGCTGTGAGCCGAGATTGTGTCCTTGCACTCCAGCCTGGGCAACAAGAGTGAGTCTCTATCTCAAAAAAACATGAAAAAAAGGGCCGGGTGCGGTGGCTGACACCTGTAATCCCAGCACTTTGGGAGGCCGAGCCGGGCAGAGCACCTGAGGTCAGGAGTTTGAGACCAGCCTGACCAACATGGTGAAACCCCGTCTCTACTAAAAAATACAAAAATTAGCCGGGTATGGTGGCAGACGCCTGTAATCCCAGCTACTTGGGAGGCTGAGGCAGGAGAATCGCTTGAACCCAGGAGGCGGAGGTTGCAGTGATCCAAGATTGCGCCATTGTACTCTAGCCGGGGCGACAGAGCAACATGCTGTCTCAAAAAGAGTAAGAGACACAGTGAGATGACCATGAGAAGCCAGAGAGAAAACGGCCGTCTTACAAGCCAAGAGAGAGGTTGCGAGAAAAAAAAAAAAAAAAAAAGCAAAACAAACCCTGCTGACTCCTTGATTTTTGCCTTCCAAGCTCCAGAACTGTGAGGAAATAAATGTCTTTGTTTTAGCCACCAAACCTAGTAAGGCAGCCCTAGCAAGCTAATATAATAGCCTGTTCTTTAATAAACAACTGCAAGATTGGAATGACTTAACTAGGAATTTGGTCAAGAAAGGAACTTACTAAAAGACTATTCTCATTTAACAAGAGAGATATTAAATATCTCAAAGGCCAAATCTTTAAAAAGATTAATGGTTTTAAGCCAGAAAACATTTGTGTGGCTCCGTTTGCTCTTAGATACAAATCAGTCTTCATTCTCAGCTGTTGCACGTTAAGGCTTGTGCAATGATCCAGAAAGGCAACAGCAGCTTTTGGAGAAAACTTTTATTTGTTCTTCATTCTAATGTCAAGTTTAAAGGCTTGAAGTCAGAATGTTAGAAGTGGGGAAGGGGACCTTAGAGGTGATGTCTTCCAAATGTTCCTGTTTATGCACAATCTCAGAGAATTAGGGTGCAAAACTCGGGTCCCAATTTCTAGGTAGTTTCCTGTTCTGCTGCTATCGTGCACTTATGGTGACTATGTGAATCCAACCAAAACAAAGGTGCCATGCCAGTGGGGCAATCTTTTTCAACTGTGAATCTTGGGAAATCAAAAGTCTGTCTTTTTTTTTTCTTCTTTTCTTTTTTGAGATGGAGTTTCACTCTTGTTGCCCAGGCTGGCGTGCAATGGCGGAATCTCAGCTCACTGCAACCTCCACCTCCCAGGTTCAAACCATTCTCCTGCCTCAGCCTCCCAAGTAGCTAGAATTACAGGCATATGCAACTACGCCCAGCTAATTTTGCATTTTTAATAGAGACTGGGTTTCTTTATGTTGGTCAGGCTGGTCTTGAACTCCCGACCTCAGGTGATCCGCCACCTTGGCCTCCTAAAGTGCTGGGATTACAGGCGTGAGCCCCCACACCTGGCTGCAAGGCTGTCTTTCAATGAAATGTCACTTGCAAATCTTTACCTGGGTGAGTTACAGTGTTTTCACTAGACTCTTCAATGGAATTCATATATTAAGAAATGCCACTTGTTTATTTGAAAATTACAAGAATCCTATCAATGCAGTAGGCATGAATGTACTTCATGTGTCCAGCTGTTCATGAAGCAGCTGATATCTTAAGTGTAAGAGGTGAGATTTACTGACTACCAGTAAAACATGCGAGTTGGGAGGCTAATGTGTGCCCAGTAAAATGATTTTAAATTTTACACGCATCTGCATAAGATCCTTTAAAATAGCTTTTATTGTTCTTGAGTTTATGCTTAAAAGAAATTAACTTTAATATTTTCAAATCATCCATAATCTCCCAAACCATTGTTGGTTTTATATTTAGCACAATTTAAATCTTTGTGTATGTGTATATGAGCTACCTTTAAAAGAGCAGTCACCCATACAAGCATTTTTTACGCATTTAGTTCGTACTTTTTTTTTTTTTTTTTTTTTGAGATGGAGTCTCACTCGCTCTTCTCACCCAGGCTGGAGTGCAATAATGGCGTAATCTCGGCTCACTGCAACCTCTGCCTCCTAGGTTCCAGCGATTCTCCAGCCTCAGTCTCCCGAGTAGCTGGGACTATAGGCATGTGCCACCACACCCAGCTAATTTTTTGTATTTTTAGTAGAGACGGGGTTTCGCCGTGTTAGCCAGGATGGTCTTGATCTCCTGACCTCATGATCCGTCTGCCTCGGCCTCCCAAAGTGCTGGGATTACAGGCGTGAGCCACCGCGCCCAGCCTAGTTTGTGCTTTTTACTTACCAGTTAGGGGTTATATTACTCTGTAACAAAATAGATGGTTATTTCTATTCATTAATAAGATGCAAGTGGCCGGGCGCGGTGGCTCACGCCTGTAATCCCAGCACTTTGGGAGGCCGAGGCGGGCGGATCACGAGGTCAGGAGATCGAGATCATCCTGGCTAACACGGTGAAACCCCGTCTCTACTAAAAAATACAAAAAAAAATTTAGCCGGGCGAGGTGGCGGGCGCCTGTAGTCCCAGCTACTCTGGAGGCTGAGGCAGGAGAATGGCGTGAACCCGGGAGGCGGCACTTGCAGTGAGCTAAGATCCAGCCACTGCACTCCAGCCTGGGCGACAGAGCCAGACTCCCTCTCAAAAAAATAAAATAAAATAAAAATAAATAAGATGCAAATAATAGCCTCTTTAGCCCCATATTCCTTAACAACACCTTTAGAACTTATGGGGGTAATTATTTTCTATACACTTTTCCAATGTATTTGAAAGTTTGTTAGCTCTTCTTCCATAATTATACTATATCCTCAGTAAAGAAAGTTTGGTATACAGAAAAGTCAAAGGAAGAAATTTTTAAATCACTTTTGTTCCACTACCAAGAAATAATACTTGGAGGTATTTCTTTTCAATCTTCAACCTGAGGATGCTAATGTCCTGCTTCATAAGGGGTCTTAAACTCACTCACTCTGTGTACTATTTCATGAGAACATTTATGTGCGTGTTTAACTGAAAGAAAACTTGAGTTTTCTTTTTTTTTCTTTTTTATTGTGGAAAATTTGAAACTTATTCAAAAAAAAGAAGAGTTAACTAATTAACTTGATGTACCCATCAGCAAGCTTCAGTAATTACCAACATTTAATTTTGTCTGCACCCCCACCCATTGCCACCCCAGCCCATTCCCAGCATGTGCCTCTGAAAGAGACCAACTTTGTCTTTTTAAAACAACCACAGTTGGCTGGGCGCGGTGGCTCATGCCTGTAATCCCAGTACTTTGGGAGGCCAAGGCATGCAGATCACCTGAGGTTGGGAGTTTGAAACCAGCCTGACCAACATGGAGAAACCCCGTCTCTACTAAAAATACAAGAATTAGCCGGGCGTGGTGGCAGGTGCCTGTAATCCCAGCTGCTCGGGAGGCTGAGGCAGGAGAATCACTTGAATCCGGGAGGCGGAGGTTGCAGTGAGGCGAGATCACGTGACTGCACTCCTGCACTCCAGCCTGGGTAACAAGAGCAAAACTCTTGTCTCAAAAAAAAAAGAGAGGGAGGGAGGGAGAGAGAGAGAAAGGAAAGAAAGAAAAAGAGAAAGAAAGAAAAAGGAAGGAAAGAAAAGAAAGAGGAAAGGAAAGAGAAAGAAAAGGAAGGAAGGAAAGAGAAAGAGAAAAAGAGAAAGAGAAAGAAAAAAGAAAAGAAAGAAGAAGGGGAAGGGAAAGAACGACAGTTT